TAGATGACTCTTCGATTTGTTGTCGCCACAAGCAGCGAATTGGTGGTCAACCATTTTGGTGGGTCTTTAATTCATGTTCGTTCCTAGCTTTTAATTAAATTTGTACTTAAAAGTTATAAGTAGTAAAAATCGTATCTTTTAAATTAATTGTTTGCACAAACCTTTTGCATGTCCCTACGTCAGCGCGTTATAACTCACCCACAGCTGCTGACGTGCAAATACACACACGTTGAAAGAAGGTGAAGTGTGTGTGTGTGTGTGTATGTATGAAAAATCATAAATACGCAAAATGATGGCAACTAGTGTTGGCACCACTAACCCCGGTACAGACGAGGGAATTATTCCCGTGATTTTAGACAGCGGCTCAAGCGGTTTCAGAGTCGGATTTGCCGGTGATGATAATCCCAAAGTCATTGATATCGCCACAAAGGTAGGTGGGAAGAATGACAAGGCGCCTATTCAACGGGGACGTGTTGTTGATTGGGAACGACTGGAGCTGCTTTGGTGGGAGGCGTTAAGCCACAAAGATGTTCGGTATGTTGACAGTCCAATCCTCTTTACCGAGGCACCTGTGGCACCCAAATATGACCGTGAGAGAACAACACAAATCGCATTTGAAAGCTTTAATGCTCCTGCTGCTTATTTATCGAATCAAGCGGCATTGGCGCTCTACGCCACGGGAAAAACCACTGGACTGGTGTTGGATATTGGACATGGAGTAACACACACAATTCCTGTGCTGGAAGGCAACAACATCTACTCTGGAGTGTTTAGTACAGACGTAGCAGGTGAAGATCTGACAGAATACCTCAAAAAACTGACTGGACGGAGTGATCATTGCGAATGGTTGAAGGAAAAGGTGTGTGAGGTCTCCTTGACCCCAGAGAAGATGCAGGCCTCCGCGGTGGTGAAGTACACCCTTCCCGACGGTGAGGGAATCTCAATAGGAGGTGAGAGATTTCAATGTCCAGAGGCGTTATTTAAACCCAGTCTATTGCAAAACGAAGTAGGTTGTTTGGCAGTGCAAGAAGCTGTTTACCATTCCGTTCAACGATGTGATCGTGATACACGTCGAGAGTTGTACGCCAACATCGTTTTGGCAGGTGGTTCAAGCATGTTTCGCAA